GAGAAAGAAATAAATTAAAAGCAACAAAATTAACATTAAACCATAAACTAATCACAATATGCTAACTATTCCATAATCTCCTTTCTAATCTCGTGTTTAATTTTTCACACCTCCAGCACCAAATTCAACCACTTTTTCCATAAACTAACCACAATATGCCAACAATAACAAAATTAAAGAACTATAAAAATCACCAAGATTTTAAGCATAATTGCACAAGCTATAGAATTTCATCATATCAGGAAAAGGCGAAACATAAGGAATTGTTCCTCAATAAACAAGCCAAATGGAAACATGAGTAGTCCTCATAGTGCTTCATATTCAACATAGCCTATTTGTCAATCAAACATAATGAAATTCAACATGAAATGTTTAGCCAAAGGAAGACCGAATAATTTTCTGGCAGTTGACAGTACGTACAAACGATACAGCTGGCACAATTACGAAGAATAACAATACCAAACATATGGCACACGATATCATGTTTGTACCAATGAAGTCTTAATAACTAAGTTGTTTTATAACGCCAATGCCCATTTCTGATAAAGAAAAGCAACCAACTGAAGACCAGAGAGAATGAAGGCTTTATTTTGAAGGCTGAAAAACTGACCTCTCCTGCTAAAGAAGATAAAGAATAACATGAAAAGCAAACTATGTCTCATTGACAATAAATATAGGGATTCATTTACGTTTACTGTCACCTAACACAATATTAAACAAAACTTGACAACATAATGGATAAGATTTTAATTTTTTTTCCTTCTTTAATAATATAAAGCTATTTAATTATCCCTACTGAACATGCTCTAAAGTACCACCAGAGTTCATCGCCATTTCAGCATCAATAATCACCTAAATCACCAGCAACATCTCTATTGTTCGACCACCATAGCAGTTATCTCATAGTCTAATAAGGGTTTTATCTAATACTTGTTGCAATATTAAAGTTTCTATCAGATTTTCAAATTATTTCATCCATAACCTTATAGCATGTTTAGGAGTGCCTAAAAGCTCCTTATAAGCATTCCCAAACATGCAATTAGTCTCCTCAATTTCATCTTTGAGGACAATAGATTTTTGAAAGATCCCTACCTTTCATTGATCATATCTTTGGCTTAACTCCAAGTCTCATACAAGAGTCCTATATTATGCCTATGATGTAGCTTAATAATATTAATACAACGTAATGAGAACAATTCAATTGATAATTTATATTCCAAATAGGGAGTTTCGGGTTTTAAAGGAGATTGATGGGGGAAAATGTATATAATTTTCTAATTGAAAGATGCAATTGAAAAGTATAAAAATTCAAGTAATTTTGAGGTAAGTATTAATTTAATTTTAGCGGCTAGGTTAGAAACATATCAACCTCATTTCCTCGAGGGGTGGCAATAAGAATTGTAATGGATGTTCTTATAAATAACAAGCTTCCCACTGATCAAGCTACTTCATGTCATACACTTTGACCTTTTATAATGGGNTTAGAAACATATCAACCTCATTTCCGAGGGGTGGCAATAAGAATTGTAATGGATGTTCTTATAAATAACAAGCTTCCAACTGATCAAGCTACTTCATGTCATACACTTTGACCTTTTATAATGGGATAGAGATTTTTATTTCCCACTACGTAATTTATTTTTTTGGGGAGAGGGGTGGTGGTTGATGCAGAAGGGAGTAGGTTTCATGCACATGCCTGGGGATCTTCTAAAACTATCTCAGAAACGTTCAATTTCCCTGATGAGGACCCATCACTCTGGGTGTAAGGAATAAGGACCTTCTCTGATGCAGTTACTGAAGAAGATTGAGA